CTAGATTCAATGATTGCTCCCTGATTCTCTGACTTGAACATGTCAAAGTGTTTGGCTGCAACTTAGTGGACTTGATTAAGTAGCCTTTAGGAAGCTATCAAAATGAAAGCAGTTAAGTGAATCAGTAAAAAAGGGTCTCCACCCTGATATTGCCATTGTCTAATCTTATAATTTGAGCATCCAGGGACATATCAAGGGAAATCCAGTTGTTGCAGAAGACAGTGTAACATAATTGAAAGTGACAAAAGGTCAACTGCAAACTGGGAAACATGGAGTAGAAATCTATCTGGTGCATAAAATAAAAGACTTGGAAATATTTTAAAATCTGAAATGCAACTTAGGAAGTCAGTGACAGGAAAGATAAAAGAGTATTGTGAGAGTTCAAAAATTTACTCTCTTATGAATCCATAATGTGCTTATGAATTATGGCTATTCCTTCCATTTTTCCATGGTTCTCTATGAATTACCTGAAAGAAGTTGTGATGAAACACGATTATGTGATCAAAATTGATAGTGTGATAACCAAATTACTCCTCTTTATTTGTCTTTTGAAACCATACTACATATTAGTAGAGTAGCATTGTCCTAAGGATTTAAGACCAAAATGTCATTTAATTTTGTTCAGCAAATCAATTTTAAAACAGTAAAGCACACTTTCATCTCTGAATATCCTTATTACTATATATTATCCAAATTGTTTAAAAACGTATATTTTAAAAAAATTATACTCTGCCTAAAATGTATCTGGAAAAATAATTTTCTTTTTAGCATATCACTAATCTTTATGAAATTTAAACTAGAACACTTTCATTTTCTTATATTTCCTAAGTGAAGCATTACATGAAAAGCATACAAAGGGTGTAAAATTTTCTTGTCATCGCCCAGGCATTTGCACTGTATTTACCTTCAATTTTTTTCACAACATCAGTAAAAAATGTGCATTGTGGGGGAAAATAGATAAAATTAAAAGACTTCTGCAATCTACCATGCATAGATTCTTAGTTTACACCCTTTCAGATATGTTATCAAGGTTGCTATTAGAATGTCTACTCCGACATAATTTCTGTCTCCTTAAAGTTGAATCTCTATACATCCATAATCCAAAATCAAACTCATTGCCATGTATTTGACTCTGGAGCACAGGATAGAAATGCCCCAGGTGGCTTTCTAAGAGTGACGCTCTTCCCTGGAGCAGAAAACCTCATCTCTCCCCCACAGGACAGCTAAACTTGTAGTTGGCAGGCCAACTTGCAGCCACTGCTCCAAATAAGATTATATTTTGCAGGTTCTATTTAGCTTGGTGTCAAATACAAATTCTAGAAAGATGATCTACCTGCTTCAGTACAGATTAGTGTGGAGACCCAAAGGGGCAGTTCTGAACTGTTGAACAAGGCATTCTATGGCAGAATTGACTCAATGAGTCATTTGGGTTTGTTTTTTCGACCATTGACAACGCATGGTATTTATGTAGCCAAGTCCTTCCTTTTTAGCACCCAATATATTCACTGCTATATATACCTTATTATAAATAATTCTTCTCGACTAACTTTAAACTTGTACTTATATGAATTCTAAGTGGGATTTATGGATCCAGTAGGATGGCATAGATGCAGTAACTAACGGCTGCTCTTGTTAGTTGCATCCCACCAGGGCTGGATTCCAAGTGAGCTCTGGGTAATTGTGAGTTAACACTCTTTTGGTGAGTGCAGTGGGAACCATTTGGGCCAGCTAGGCACTCCTGGATAAATAAGATTCCTAGGATAGTATCTGCATTCAGCCTTTCTCTAACATTTGCCAGATTGATGGGAATACTTTTTTTCTTCATTGAACAATTCCAATTTGAATGTTGAAAAATGATAGTTATGCCTCTTTTATTCTGGAAAAGAGAAAATAGTATGAACCTTTCTATAAGTCTAGTCATTTTCAACAACAAGAAGTTGATGGTCTCAAACCCAAAACTCCAATTAAGTCAGTGGGGCATTCCTTTCTCACATTGAACTTTAAAGAAAACAGAATGGTGTCTTTTGCTCACTCATACAGTACATAGCTCAGCCCAAGGCATAATGGTTTTCATGTTGATAGAATAATAAAATGATAAATTCAGGTAAGTCTATTGTTAACTTCTCAGATTATTTTTATGGTAATAAAAAAGAAACAAAGTTGTTTTCATAACAATGGCAACAACACAAAAATGCTTTTACTAGTTTTGGTCCACTAACTCTTGTAGGTAAGATCCCCAACTCAAACAGCCAGCCCTTGCTTCCTAGAAGATACATTGAAAATATAAGCAGTCACATGCCACCCCACTCTTCCCATCATCTTTTATTCAAGAAAGCAGAAGCCAAATAGTAAAAGCACCGCCATCATGTGAGTGAAGCCTTCAATAGGAATATTTAGAACTAAAATGAAACATGGGCTACAGTATTATCTGTAGGCAGAAAATTTACATTTGGCTAAATTTTCACAATGGGATCCCAAACTCACAGTCATCACGGTGGTTTTGCCCAACAGGACAGAGAAGAACTGCTTCTTCCCCTTTCTGAGAGCAGACAGCTTCCTCTTCCTCTTCCGGAGCTACTACTGGGTTTGAACCGTCAACTTTGCAATTACCAGCCCTATGCTGACTCTTAGGACAATTGAGAACAAGATAAATTGTACTAATTGACCTGGGGAAGATAATTTATGAGCTCATTTCTCTCCTTCAATTTTAAGCAGACAAAAAGCAGATTTTCTTCTCTTCCATTTATCCAATTAGGTTATCTCAACCCATACTTAGGGTATAAGAAAAAATAGCTTTAGCCTAAGTATATCTCATGGCTATGAAGTCAGAATAAATGGAGATCAAGCTTCGTATGCAGTTGTAGCTGTTAGTTGCTGTCAAGTTGATTCTGACCCATAGTGACTCCATGGACAACAGAAACCAGCAGTGAACCGCCCAGCACCGGTCTCAAAAGTGGTGCTAGTTTGAGCTCATTGATCCAGCCACTGGGTCAATTAATCCCATTGAGGGTCTTCCTCATTGTCACTGGTCCTCTGCTTTATCAAGCACAATGCCGTTCTTCAGGGCTGGATCCCTCTTGATAGCTTGTCCAAAATATGTGACCCAAGGTCTTGCCATGCTCATTTCCAAGGAGCATGTTGGCCTTGCTTCTTTCTTCCAAGAGATATCTGTTTGTACCTTTTCCAGACCCTAGCATATTCAATATCATCTAACTGCATTCGAATGCATCAGTTGTTCTTTGGACTCTGTTGCCCAGTTTTTGCATGCATATGAGGAGACTGAAAGAACATGCTTTTTGTCAAGCACACCATAGTCTTGATAGTCACGTCTTTGATTTTTAGCATTTTGAAGAGGTTTGCCCAGCATAATAAATGCACCATTTGATTTCTGACTGCTGCCCAAATGGGCATTGAGGTGGATACAAGTAAAAAAAATCTTTGACAGTTTCAATATTTTCTTAGTAATCATGATATGTATCATATAGGTCCAGTTGTGAGTATTTTTTGTTTGTTTCCTTTATGTTGTATCATCTACATATCACAAGCTGCTATAGTTTTGCTGATATGACATGCTTCAAAATGAGAAGATAAGTGGTAAACATCCATTAATACTTGGAATGAGAAATGTACAAAGTGTGAGCCAAGGAAAGTTGGAAGTTATGGAAAATAAAATAGGACACTTGAAAAATAATATCCTAGGTAATAGTGAGCTGAAGCGGACAGATATTAGCCATCACATGCTACTCTGATCCACTGTGTCAGGACTGACAAATTGAAGATGAATGGTATCACATTGATTGTGAAAAAATAGAAAAAGGGTATTAGAAGATAATGAGTATCTCCCATGATTTTTTGAAGCTCTTATATTAAATTTTTTAAAATGACCAAATTAAAAATATCTTCTTTACTAATTATTAGAGTGCAGCTTTATGAGCTGTAAAACTTTTGGTCTAATGTTTGTGTTCTCATTTTTTTCTTTCTTTTTATCATACTATAATCATAAATAATACCTTTTGACATTTGAACTACTATTTATTTCCTCTTGCCTTTAAAGATGTTAAGGGAAGAATTTTTATGAACAAGCAGAAGAAATAAATACTGATAAAATAATAAAATTATTCTTTTGACTGTACTTTGTTCTAATAGTGAGTATTAAAAATGTCAAACTGTTTTAAGCATATTTAGTACTTGTCACAAAAAATAGAGCAACAAGCACCTTAAATGGTCTCAAAATCAACATAGTATTTCACATTGTTAATAAAACTATAATAGCAAAGGACCACTATTATGAATATGTAAGATATTTGGATATTTATTTTTCATTCTTTTAACTCTCTAGGCTCATAATTATATTGTAGCATAAGTTGGGAACACTGGGAATTTTCCACAATGGTTAAAGAAAACATAATTTCAGGAATGCTGGTTTTCTTAAATATTAGTAATTAGTGAAATCTGTGTCAACAAAGAACAATCTAATTTATGAGGATAAACATAAAAATCCTGATTATTTTTGGTTAATATTACCTTTTTGATATTAGATTGATCTAGGAAAGCAAGATCAAGTTTCTAGTAATAAGTTACGTAAATTATCAATTTCATAGGTAAAACCATTAAAAAAATTAAGTCAGCATATATAACAAAGTTGACAGTATATTTGTTAATTTTCCTACAAGCATTTTGGCTGACTTTTAGTAGATTTAAAAAGAAATTTAAGAGCTGTAGATCTGGAATTAATAGTCCATCATGAAAAAGTGGAAGCATTAAAGCCCACAAAGGTCACTTTGTACCAGTGCAGCTTGCATGGTGACTTTTAACACTCAACCCGCCGTGCAAAGTAAGGGCTGCGTGTAATATGCTGATAATGGAAATATAAAAGATTGAAAAAGAGATTGATGGCTTTTAACTCTTTGACATTATCTTTAAATCTAGTGATTTAAATTAAATCATTGTGTAAATTAAAAAAATACATCTCTACTTTATTATTATTATTATTATTCCAGTGTGATCGCTGTTTGCCTCTTTATAATGACAAGCCCTTCCGCCAAGGTGATCAAGTTCATGCCTACAATTGTAGACAGTGTCATTGCAACAGCCATTCCCGAAGCTGCCACTATGACATTTCAGTGGACCCTTTCCCATTGGAGCACCACAGAGGGGGTGGAGGAGTTTGTGACGACTGTGAGCATAACACGACAGGTAAATTGTAAACAATATAAGATGCAGACCTGGCATTTGTGGCTGTGTGCTGCTAAACATGCAGTGCATTCTATTTTGAATTACCTTACGGGTATCTCATAGCGCTCGAGTAAGCATTGAATTGTTAGTCACATGGTCAGTGGTTCAAAAACACCCGCCTTTTTCTTGGGAGAAAACTGAGGTCTGATCTCATAAAGATTTACAACCTTGGATATTGGATATAAGGTCACTATGAGCTGGAATCCACACAACGGCAATGGATTTAGTATCTTATTTAAGAAAACACTGTTGTATTGTTCAGTATGAAAACCCAAACTAGTTTGTCAAATCATCAGAATTCCAAAACATTAGCTACTTTTCAAAAATGGAAGTCTGGTCTTCAACAACATACTTGCAGAAAAAGGTGGTGTTGCTGCGACTGCTCTTCTTTTTGTTTCTTAAGGGTCCACCTCATTCAATTACCCTCCTCAAAATATTTCCCATGTGTCCCCATTGCCATCTTTTATGTCCTTACTCTGTTATGGAGATATGCGTATTCATGAACATCTTGCAGAGGCACGGGGAATTTAGGGTTTTCTTACTTTAAAAAGCAAGTTAAATGCAGAAGACCACAAAAACTAAATCCAAAGCTGATCTAAAATTGGTTATCTAAAAATAGAAAGCATTTTGTTTAGTCATTAAAAACCACGACTTTAGGAAAGGCCAGTACCATAAAAGCAGAAATAGGTACTCTCTGCATTTGAGAAACGTGATGGCCCAACACTGAAGGGGTTGAAACTGTGCTCCTTACTCTGAATCATGAGTGATCGAATCTGTTAGATAATTGCTGATCACCTAAAATGTCATAAGAGCTTGGCTCAGTGCTGTGGGCATCCACGATAATGAACTTTCATGTCTTGGTATGGAATACTGGATAGTGGGAAAGCTGCCCGGTAAAAGAAGCAATCACAACATGGTGCATAAAGACATAGCAAGTCCAGTTGGAGTTTACCAGATAATAGAGGGGTTGGGAAGGGAATTGGGGACGTGGGCAACTCTCCGTGAGAGAAGCACGTTTTCCCCTAAGATGGAGGAGAGAGAAACACAGTACTTCTAAACAACTGATAGAACAGTAACTGGCTGGTGGTGAGAAAAAACATTAGGGAGAAAAGTGAGGGCCAGACACACAGGGCCTTGGGAGCCATACAAAATCTGAGTTTGGCTTATTCTGGAGTAGTGAGAGGTTACTTTAAGGGTGTCTCTAGGGAATAGACACAAACCGGTTTATTCTTTTTAAAAGGCCATTCTAGCTGTAGAGAACATCTTGGAGAATGCTGAGTGATTTGGGAAGATCAGACAGGAGGGTACTGCAATAGTGCGGTGAAAATGAAGTTCAACTACATTTAAGACAGAGTGAGTAGAGGAATGAGAGCACAAGACATATACCAGGGGGAAAGCAGTGGCATATTGTGAGCAACTGGTTTTAGGCTGCAGATAAGGGAAGTAGAGCAGGCAAGGCTGATGCTTGAATAAAGGGTTAAGGTATGAAGATAGGAACCTCCATGGGGCTGGGATCCGACTTCTGAGAGCAGATGGCTGGTTCTGTTTTGAACACATTCTCCGTGTTGCCATGACACATAAGAGCACACTCAGTGGTCAGTTGGTTCCACAGGGCTGAAGACTCCTTTAAAATCCATTAGTGATGGTTCCGAAAAGGACCATTGGTGTAGTCTCTTGGCATCTTATTTTCACCTTGGTTCCATAGTGTGTATTTACTCCTGTTATTTAATTAAGATTAATTTTATCAACTAGTATGTGAGAAAGCCCTATGAGAGAGGTGTAATGTGTATTTTTCTCACTACTGTATTCCCCAGCACTTAACACAGTGTTTGGAACATGGTAATCACTCAATAAATATTCATTAAATAATAAATAAAGGAGATAAATCTAGACTGGAGATATAGATTAGGGAGTCATCAGCATATGTAAATAGAAAATGTTCTAGAAATATTATAAGCCCATTTAATTTTTAATTAGGCCATAACCAATATTCATCAGAATGTGAGTTTTCACTTGATTAAGTTATTTCAGCAGTCTTCTAATATTGGGCCAATTTCAGCCATATTTGAGCAGAGTGCATAATGTTTAAAGGGTAATTGAGAACCTCAAGTTTTATTTCAGTGGCCTTATATGCTACTCACATTCACTTAAAAATTCCCAGTAGTTAATATTTCTCTCATATAAAATAGCATGGTGTAATTTCTAACTTACAAACTATGAACTATAGGGATTACTGAATGTACCAAACGTGCCAGGAAATTCTAAGGATTAATGTGAAATTTATTTGAGATGTTTACATGTTATACATTTGCATTTTCATATTTGAAATGAAAAATGATGATTATATGTGTTAACATAGGTATTTGTTTTAACCATGTTAATGATCGAATAGTGAATTGTACTGAGGTCAGTTTCCTCTCTGGGGAAAAAAAAGTACATTTCTCGGGCTGCATATTTGCTTCCAACTGTGTAACTATGACCTTCCATACATCTAGAAATTTCTCAAAGTTGGATTGAGTGCTTGGTGCTAGAAATAAAGGAAAGTCTTAAATTTAGAAATGAACCCTTTCAGAAAGTACAGGTCCTTACAAAGCCCAGCTTTTTAGAAGTGTGGCATTAGATAACAGATGGGAGTTTAATGAAGTAAAGCACAGTTTGTAACAGGTTCATTGTTTCATATGCTCTGGATCACTAAATTGGCAGGTAGAGATGAAAGGTGCATTAAAATGGACGTCCCGAAAATTATAGAATTCTCTCTAAGGAATACAGTCTTTAATTTTGAATTATGCAGCTGATTTTAATGAATTGGAGTCATAATGCATAACCTTTTCCTGACGCAGGAAGGAACTGTGAGCTGTGCAAGGATTACTTTTTCCAACAAGTTGGTGCCGATCCTGCGGCCATCGATGTTTGCGTACCTTGTGATTGTGATAAAGTTGGCACCAGAAAAAATAGCCTCGTCTGTGATCAGGTGAGGATTTCTGTCTTGATGGAAAGAATGATTCTCTGTCAGAGACTAATTTGGGTGATGACCTGCTGGTGGAATTGGAGATTACATATATTTATGTATTAATATTTTAAATCATTTCATTGGCGGCCCATACAACTCTTATCACATCCATGCATCTATTCATTGTGTCAAGCACATTTGTACATGTTGCCATCATCATTTTCAAAACATTTTCTTTCTACTTGAGCCTTTGGTATCAACTTCCCATTGTTCCTCCTCCCTCTCCCACTCTCCCTCCATCATGAACTCTTGATAATCGATACATTATTATTATTTTTTCATGTCTTACACTGACTGATGTCTCCCTTCACCCACTTTTCTGTTTTCCGTTCCCAAGGGTGGGGGTTATATGTAGATCATTGTGATAGGTAACCCGTTTCTCCCCCAACCTTTCCCTTACCCTCCTGGTATCACTATTCTCATTATTGATCCTGGGGGGGTTTATCTGTCCTGGATTCCCTGTGTTTCCAGTTCTTATCTGTACCAGTGTACATCCTCTGGTCTAGCCGGATTTGTAGGGTAGAATTGAGGTCATGATGTGGGGGGCATTAAACAACTAGAGGAAAGTTGTATGTTTCATCGCTGTTGTACTGCATTCTGACTGGCTTGTTGCCTCCCTGCGACCCTTCTCTAAGGGGATGTTCAGTTGCCTACAGATGGGCTGTGGGTCTCCACTCTGCCCTCCCCCCCATTCACAATATGATTTTGTGTTCTTTGATACCTGATCCTATTGACACTTCATGATCACATAGGCTGATGTGCTTCTTCCATGTGGGCTTTGTTGCTTCTCAGCAAGATAGCTGCTTGTTTATCTTCAAGCCTTTAAGACTCCAGATGCTATATCTTTTGATAGCCGAGCACCATCAGCTTTCTTCACCACATTTGCTTATGCACCCATTTTTGTCTTCAGTAATCCTGTCGGGAAGATGAGCATAGAATGCCAGTTTAATAGAACAGTGTTCTTGTATTGAGGGAGTACTTGAGTAGAGGCCAAATGTCCATCTGCTACCTTAATACTAAACTTATAAATACTTGTACATAGATCTATTTCCCCATTGTCATATATAAATATATTTACATAGGTACAAGCCTGTATTTAGACCTCTATAAATACCCTTTGTCTCCTAGTTCTTTCCTCTATTTCCTTTTATTTTCCTCTTGTCCCACTATCATGTTCAGCCTTCATTTGGGTTACAGTAATTCCTCTTGGTTGCATTGCCCTTGATCAAGCCCTACCAGGCCTCCTACACTCTCCTTGTCATCAATTTTAGATCACTTGTTGTTACCTTGTCCCTGGGTTTGTTAACACCTTTCATTTTCCCTGCTTCCCCCTCTCCCATGTCACCCCCGGAACCATGGGTCTGTTATTTTTGCCTCCAGATTGTTTATCCTGCCTATCTTATCCAGATAGACCTGCAGAGATAATAATATGGGCAAAAACAAGACTGCCCTGAGAACCATATTCCTCCTCTGAGCAGCCAATGCACAGAGAGGACCATAGGGCTGGCCCCACTATTAGACACTATATCCTACACTGACCGACAGCACAATGGAGGACAACACTGGAGACACAGTGCAGGAATTTCACCCTATCTGACCCCACCACACAGACTGAAACCCCATGCAACAGAACTGCAAGGGGAGGAGAGGAAGAAGTCCCTAGGGAATACCAAAAATAGAATTTGGGGCCAGGGTGTGTCACCCAGCAGACTCCACTGGAAAACATTCCCAAAGATCAACAAACAGACCTTGAACAATTTATAGCATTTTCTTTTTTTGTCGTTGGTTTTTGTTGTTTGTTGTTGTTTTGTTTTCTTTTGTTGAAGACTATATTTATAGGAAAGTACTCTCAGTGTAGAATCCCTCTGTGGCCCAACACAATTAACATTCTTGGTTACTAACTAAAAGTTGGAAGTTCGAATTCACCTGAAGGTGATTTGGAAGAAAGGCTTGGTGATCAACTTCTGAAAGGAGCAGCCATTGAACTCTAGGGAGCACAGTTCTGCTCCGTCTCAAAGGAATCAGCATAAAACTCCTTGGTGATTTTGGTTGTTTTTTTTTGACGGGGAGGTGTTCGGTCACTCATAGTTGCTTTAGGCTATTTTGGTGATTTCTTGTATATAAAAATGGTCGTTTTGTTTTTAATTTCACAAGTGTCAAAAAATTGAGGGGCAAAGGGTTTCAAATAAACTGGGGATTCAATTAAGTATAAGACTTGGAATTATTAATTAAATTATTATTAGCAAATTATGTAATTAAACATAAAAGGCATCCCCCTTTTTAAAAACAAATTTTAGATAAGATAGTATAAAAAAAGTTTATTTTAATATATAGATTCAAAAGTAAATTAAAATGGATCTGCTTCTAAAATTTCATATTCTAACAATTTCTAACTCATAATTGCAATGGATTTTTATGATTTTGTAATTGCAATGGGTTTTTATGATTTTGTTATATATTTTATTCGCAATACTATGTATGTGGATGTCCTAGCTATAATAACACAAGTTCTAACTATATATTCTACGTCAAGTCAGTATGAATGACTTTGTTTTTAAACCTGTCTTCATCTTAACCTATTCAGATAATACTAATAACTGAAAACTATTAAAATAGCTGAACCTAATTACTGTAAATAATGAATCCAATAATTAAGAATAAAATGGCTAGGAGCATAAATAACAATACATTGAAAGGAATTTTTAAAAAAAAATTTAAGAGCCACAGTTTGAAGATAATCATTCCAAGGCAAAATATATTTGTGTAAACTTTTAACAGACATTAAAAATTGTGTTAGCCAAAAAAAGTAAAAAATATCTAGGCTAAAATACGTATTTAAAACCTTCAGAATAATCACGGCTTGTTAAAGCAGGACATCATGTGCTTCATTGGGAAGCTGAAAAGTTGAAAAATACTTAACAAAGACATTTTTTACTGTGCTGATTTTGAGCTATAAAGGACTATTTTGGCAGAAGTTCATATTACAATGATAGCTATATAGAGTCAATAGTAAAACATGATGGAATGTTTACAGGTCTCATCTTTACATAGCTAACCCTGAATTTTCAGCTTTGGATTTATCATTCAAGTCTCACCTGCAAGATCTTTCAATTGACCACCCAGTTACAAAACATGCTCATGTCAGTGACTCTCACATCATCTTATGTTGTCTTAATAGGAGCCCTTATGGTGCAGTGGTTACATTTGGGGCTGCTATCCACATGGTTGGCAGTTCAAACCAGCAGCAGCTCCGTGCTCCTGTAAACAATTACAGTCTTGGAAACCCACAGGGGGTCACTATGTGTCAGCATTAACTTAAATGGCAATATTTATTATTAGATATTGTCTTTATTGCAGTCTTTCTCATCATGTAACATTCTCTTTGTTTACTTGTCTTCTGTTTCTGTGTCCTCCACAAACAGCCAAGGAAATATCCAATACCTGTTTGTTGAATAAAGTTTGAATGATTCAAGAGCAATTCTCTCTGAGCACTAATCTCAAGTCAAATGGTCACTTAAATGGTGATGATACTGATCCGAGTTGTGTGCACAATTTTCACTTAAACAGCATTTTTTCTCTGTAATGATGTAAGGTCAAATTATTTTGGTATATTGAGAGACTAAAAGGAAGTTTTTATAAAATCTCACAAGTCATAACACCTATGAATTAAAGTGTAGCATATATGTCTCTAAAACCCCAAAATTCTGGTGTGTGGGAAATTTAGCCTTCTTTTTCTGAACTAGGTTAGACTTTCCCCTACCCTCCCCCAAGTTCATTTCATTGAGGTGGGATACAAGTTTGGATAGCCCTGAAAATTGAAAAACTGTAAAGAGTTAACAACTGGGTATCTGGAAAAAAAAAAAAACGGGAAAAAAAAGCATCATCAGGGAGAATTCCAAGTTATCAATGAAATATCAGTGACCACGAGCTGGGAAGAGATGTGCATGACTTGATCTTTCTAGTCATCAAAGCTGCTCCAGCACATTGCTGGCTCTGGGTAGCTTTACCCACCTCCAGTAGGGTGGGAGGGTGGATCTAGTTCTTGGGCAGGATTATGGCTGATTATATCCAAGACAAAGGCATTAAGAAGTCTTTTACAGCAGATTTGCTCAGTGCAATATGTTGTTTGATTTCAATACTGTTGTTTCCATAGGCATTCATTATGGATCCAAGCAAAATGAAATCCTTAACTTAAATACTATCTTTGTTTATCAGGATGTTGCTTATAGGTCCTCTTGCAAATATTTTTTTAAAAATGTTGAGGTGTAATCCATACTGAAGGCTGTAGTTTTAAAAATTTCATTAATAAATGCTTCAAGCCCTTTTAGCTTTCAGCAAGGAAGTTTGCATCATTTATATATGACAGGTTGTTAATAAGTCTCCCTCTAAATCCTAATACCAAACTGTTTTAGAAGTAGTCAGGCTTCTTTGATAACTTTCTGAGTGTATAGATTGAATAAGTCTTTTGAAATAGATAACCCTGATGCACACCTTTCCCGATTTAAACCACTCAGCATCCTCTTGCTCTGTTTTAAGGACAGCCACTTAGTCTACATGAGCATAATTAAGTATTCTGAAGTTCCAATGCTTGCCAATGTTATACACATTTCTTATGAACCTCACAGTGAATACCTTTGCATAGTCAATAAAAGACACATAAACATCTTTCTGGTGTTGTCTGCCTTCATCCAAGATCCATCAGTAATGACATATCATCAGTGATCATATTCCTCAATATTTGTCCCCCTGTGAATCTAGCTTGAATTTCCTGTAGTTATCTGGGGTTTTCCTGCTACAACCATTTTTCAATTATTTCCTCAAAACTATATTTTCGTGTGATATTAATAACATTGTTTAATAGTCTCTTTAAAATATATGCTAACAAATCACAGTAATCATTTAAGCTATAAGCCAACCCAACTGTGGAACATAACATTGAGAAATTCCTTAGGATTTAGTAC